AGGAATCGGTCTCACATTTGTTCTTCCTTTGCCCTTTCAACTTTCAAGTCCAAGGTTTGAAAAGAAAATAGAAGGTGACTTGTCATTGAATGGAGCATGATTAGTTGATTACACTGGCTAGCCGGTCCTAAAATGGATCAAAAATCATGTCAAGGCGCAAATTATACTGCGGGATCGGCCCACCTTGCGCATGGTGTGCCGATCCCAAACGGTGCCGTTTCGATTAATAAAAACCAGTCCATCCTCTTCCGATTTAATTTGAATGGCCACGACCGGTTCTCGAACTCATCCACAAAAAATCGTAGGCTCATCATCGGTGGCTGCTAGGCATCTGACATGTTTCTATTCTTTTTAGGTTGGATTCTTCATCTCGTTCGTAATTTGTTTTGGTTGCTAGTTTCTGCATCTCAGTTCACCAAGCTTCATGACTTTCTTGTACCTCTCGATGGGGATTCAAATCCAACGAGTAACTAGCAACACAGTCTCCTTCAATCTAAAAAAATCTATGGTTTCATTGAGTTCAAGAGAATCTACTCCAACTAGTTAGGTTTTCTTAAATTTCTCAAATCCCTCCCTTGTAAATGTATACGATCGAGTAGATCAAGTATATGGTGTAATTAACTAGCTAGTTCTTCTTCAACTCTGTGCCTTGGAGCTGGTAGGGGCCTGACCGCTTGACATGAGATGAAAATCTGACCTTAGGGCTCCTACAGATAGGATTGGGGTTCTACAGGGAATTGGCATTCATGGAACTCAGCTGTTTGTTCAAGTTTCTCAACTATCTGTTCAAGTTTCTGCAGGGCATAGGCATTCATGAGCATCTAAGAAAAGTTACATTTTTATCAAAAGGATTTTTACATTTTCATTTATCTCAAGTTACATATCTATTAACATGATTTACATGTCAACTTTCCTCAGCGAGTTACATCCGGCTTACAAGTGATTTACAATTCTCGTAAGATGAGTTACATCACAATATAATGCGAGTTACACAGCAAAATAAGCTCCTGCTATTGAAAGAAAAATTATTTTTATAAAAATCATTTTAATAGAAATAAAAATATATAATGTTTTTTTTATATAAATGATTTTTATAAAAACTACTATGTATATTTCAAGTGGTATAACAAGTTGAGAGAGCAAAACAAGTTTTCTATTCCAGCGCATGAGTTACATTTGAATACACTGAATTTACATTTTACAATGGCGTGAGTTACATATCAATACAAAGGATTTATATCAGAAAAGAAATTGATCACACGATTTTTTTAAAAGTCAAAGCTTAAACTAAATGATGCCGTTTTATATGTGGGAGCAAGATCCTCACCGTGGGATGATCCCACGGTATAAAAACTGATGCCAAGGGCGCTGATCAAATCTAAAGCAAAGCAACCTGTATTGCTTTCAGCTGAACTGTGTACTGAATTTGAAATATCAGAAATGCCACACGCTATGATACCACGTTCCTTAAAGATATGAACATTGCTTCCAAAGTCATGTACCTTGCGTAACAAGTTTGTGTAGTATTTACCTCCAGATCGAGATGATCAACTTTGTTTTCTTTTGATACATTCCTTTATCCCGTCACATTTTGCCCGCACCTTTTGCTTTGTAGGATATATGACATTTTTCGTGACCTAAACTTGTTGCTTGGTGATATGGTCTCCTATTGGGACCACATTAATCAAAATTAATTACAAATGTATGGGACGGTTAATGGATCGGGCGAGTATATATGAAATTGTAAATGTCACATAATCAGATAAAATACAACATTTATTCGAGACTTTGAATGAACTTGTTACTTGTTTTGATCTGATTTGTTTGATAGGAGTGTTTATTGAGTCAAATATAATTGCCATTCCGATTTTTAGAGGTGGTAACATATTTTAAAATGTGAATGATTTATTCTAGTGTTAGTCATCAAGAAGTTATAATGAAACCCCCTAATTTATTCTAAAAAAATGATACTCTTAAGTAAAAAGTAAATAAAAATAAAGATAATTTTGATATTTTGTATTGAAAAATTACTTTTTATAAAAATGTGAAGTTTACTGGAACATCCAAATAAGAAAATTGAAAAGTTGCTTTGTAGACCAGGAAGTAATAGATTTAAAAATTGAGTTTAAAAAAAAATTATTGAAATAGAACTAATATACAAAAATATGACTAATAGTTACGTAGTACTAAAGTAGAATCTCAGAATCTCAGTCACTTAAGTGTAAAAATTGAACATAAATTGCTAAGACTAAGTTACTACCATAATCACTACACTTGAGATGTCACATTTTTGTAAACAAACGTTTATTTTAGTCATATATGTGTAATAGGCATGGACTCGGGCCGGGTGGCCTGACCCGGAACCGGCTCGAACCGGCACTGTTTGGAACCGGCCCGAACCGGTGGCCCGGCCAGGGACCTGTCCGGGTAGGCCCTCCCCGGTGGTTTTACGGTGCGGGCTCGGGTCACCCAATAGACGAATCGCCCCGGCCGGACCGGGACCGGTTCCGGGCCTTATTTTTTTGTTTTTTCAATTTTTTTTTCTGGGTTGGGCTGGGTGTTTTAGGCCATTTGGGTGGTTCGGGGGTGGGGGTGGGGGTGAGGGGGGGGTCGGGGATTAATTAGAAAAGTAAAAAAAATATAGGAAGTTGCCCAAGGCCCGACCCGACCCGGACCCGCCGGCCACCCGGGCCGGTTCCGGTTCACCCATTCAAATAAAAGCTTGGCAGGACCCAGGCCCGAACCAGAACCGGCCCGGGTCCACCCCTAATGTGTAATTATTTCTTAAAAATTTCTAGTGAATGTATGCAATTATGCATAAACATTGATCGTTTTCTAGAAAAATATAACTTAATGTGTCGTTTTTGTAGAAATTAAAAACATAACTTAACCTACATTTTGCGCAATTTATACCGTGCAACCGGCGCACCATGAGGATGGTGCGCCCGGTTGCAAAACGACGCACGCTTCATTCAAAACGACGGAGTGCCTGGTTTCTTTTTTTTTTTTTTTTTTTTTTTTGCTTTTGTTGTTAAAAAATGATAATAACTTTTTTATTTTTGCTCCGATTTTTATAAAATTTATATCAATATTTTTTATTTTTCATGATCTTTCAAATGAGACCAATATTGCTTATGAAATTTTAAGAAATTATCGAACTATTATATTAATGAGTATTGGATTATAAAGAAAATCGAACTAAATTTAATATAGAAAAATAATTGTGTAAATCACAATTTATCTTAAAATTGTGTATATAAAAAATTTATTGTATTATGTATTTATACATGTGAGTTACATATTTTTATAGGAAAAATTGACAAGAATAATCCCACCTTTCACTAGTCTTCTCATAATAATCCCACCTTTAAATAATCCCAAAATAATCCAACATTTGCACCTCATCTTCTTTCATTGGACCCTGACCAAGTTTTTTACCTTTTTTTAAAAAATATTATATAAATAATCTCACATTTATAAGGATATAATTAAAAAGTGAAGGGTGAGATTATTTGTATAATTTTCAAAGAAAGACTAAAAAACATGGTCAGGGTCCAATGAAAGAAGATGAGATGCAAAGGTGGGATTATTTTGGGATTATTTAAAGGTGAGATTATTATGAGAAGACCAGTGAAAGGTGGGATTATTCTTGTCAATTTTTCCTATTTTTATACGTGAAGTTACATATTTTTACACGTAAAGTTACATATTTCTACATGCAAGTTACATATATATACACATGAGTTGCATATGAATTGAAGGGAGATGATAAGTTTGTGAATAGAAGATCGAATCTGTTTGGGAGTGGATCAGTGGCCTCAGTTACATTTGATAATTGAGTTACATCTTTTTATGAGCGAGTTACATCTTTTTATAAGCAAGTTATATATATATACACACACACACACACACACACACACACACACACACACACACACACACACACACACGAGTTGCATTTGACCTGCCTGAACGCGAGTTACATATATTTACACGTAAAGTTACATATTTATACACGTAGAGTTACATATTTTTACACACGAGTTGCATTTGGCCTGACTTAACATGAGTTACATATTTTAACACGTAAAGTTACATATTTGTACACGCAAATGTTAATATATTAAAATTACATAGGCAATATTGGTCTCATTTGAAAGATCATGAAAAATAAAAAATGTTGATATAAATTTTATAAAAATCGGATCAAAAATAAAAAAGTTATTACCATTTTTAAAAAAGAGAGAAATAAAAAATAATGAGGCCAACTGCTAGAACTACGTCGTATTGGTGTCGGGTGTACTATGCTCATAGTGGGCCGGTCGTATGGTATACGAACTGTACATTTTGTCTTTGATGAAGGATTCCAAATTTCACACTATCACATCCAAATCCAAATTATGCTACTCGCTACGTCCCGGAACCAAGTTTTCACTTTTCTTATTTGGATGTCCCAAAATAAACTTCTCACTTTCTTTTTTGACAAAATTAATCTACATCAAAACAGTGCAAAACAGTGTCAAACAGTGCAAAACAATATCAAAACAATGTCAAAACAATATAAAAAAGTACAATTTACCCCTCAGTAACTTTATTTTCTTAAAATGTGTGAAAGTCAACTCGAGAACTTGTTTCCAAGGTAGTACATTTTTGGGTAAGTTCTCTTATATTAGAGTTTTAGCTTTACTTCATCTAATGACAAAAACTAAGAGTTCAATGAAGTTGGCAGATGTTGCTTAATTTGCGAAAATCACTTCATAGTCTTCCTAATGGAAGTGACATTTAAAATATACTCCCTCCGTCCCATAAAATTCTTTCCACTTTTCTTTTTAGATCGTCTCAAACAATTCTCCCCACTTACCATTTTTGGACAATTTGTGTAGTTCACATTCATTTCACCTTTTTCTGACACAACCACAACCATACATTTCCACTTTATTCCACTTCCTTAATCTCCTTACCAAGTCAAACTGGGAAGAATTTTATATTTTTATGGGACAGAGGGAGTATAATATAAATGCTAAATTATACGGAAAATATAAGATTGTGAACTACGTACTATTTAAGACAATCCAATCTGTTAAGTAATACGTAGTAAATTAATATATTTAAGGTAAATTTTATTAATAGAATAAAAATATATACGATAATATGAAATAACTTATAATTGTACTTTTCAATAATAAAAAATCATGTTATTGGTGCCAGCTCGTATTTCAGCCTAGTAACTGCTCGAGAGTAGATCCTTCCGTGGCATCTGAATGCAGGATATCAACCTTCTTAAAAAAACCATGGCTCGTTCATACAGTTACAGCCTTTAACCGCCAATCCGGTTCATTTCACTACTTCGGCTTCCTTAATAGTGCAATAGCCTCTATAATAAACACAGCCCCGGGGTTATGATGATGTGTGACATGAATGCACACTTATAGTTTGGTCTCTTGCAACCCACAGGCCATGTTAGCAGGAACAGCAACATCCATCATTTTTGGGTACGACAACTTCAAACCTGTCATTTAACCATAACATCATTTTTTGTACTTTAAAAAAGGGTGCAGAGAATATCCTACCCAACCTTTTAGATCAAAACCTTTTAAGGGGGTATTGATCCTTTGCCCCCATTAAGCCAATCAGCTTTCAATTGGGGCCTATCGAGCAAGTCAGGGACAAACTTAGCGTCTATTGAGCACCTTTTGCATCTCCCTCCCATTTCTGTCATAACTTAAATTGTTCAATGCTTCTCTGAGCCATTGTTTGCTAGAAGGGGCACTGGAAGGAGGGGGAGGGGGTGGAGGGGCCAAGTAGAGGAGCTATAAACTTCTCCAAACTCCCCATATCTCACTCTGGAGCAATTTGGGGTGTTTCTGATGAGTTATGTTTTTTTCTTAATTTTTTCACCTTATCAAAACTTATACATTGTCATTTTTATACGTATAGATTACTATGCTTTTTAACCACAGGCGCCAGGGGCGGAGGTACGCCTAACCTTAAGGGGGCCATTGCCCCTCCCAGTTTATTAATTTTTTTAGTAATAGTATAGTAATACATTTTTTTGCCCCCCCCCCTCCCCCCAAATACTACGGGAGTATTACTTATATACAACATTAGGGGAAGTAAATTCTTGGAGTAGTGCTTCATTGGTGCGGCTAGTTTCACAATTCACATCAATCCATTAGAGAAAGCACAAAAAAAACAAAAGCCCTAAATAATATGGAGTATTTAGTAAATACTTTTTTGTTTACCTAAACATTCAAAAGGTAAGTGTGGCTGCTAAGCATGGAAATCGAAAAGATGCACAACAACTTTAACTCAAAATAGCGTGCCACTAATTAGTGAACAAATTGGTTAATTTGTTGTCAAATAAATCAATATAAGTAATAACATGATGTAAAAAATTAGTTTGTTGTCAAATAAATCAATATAAGTAATAACCTTATGTAAAAAATTAGTTTGTTGTCAAATAAATTAATATAAGTAACAACATTATGAAAAAATTTAGTGAATAATTAATTATATGACATTAGATTATTCGTATGATTATGACATTGTACTTTTTAATATTATAATTGAATATCACATTTTTAGCCCGTTTGTTAGAATTTTTTTTAAATTTATGTAGATGACCTTTTTAAATATTTTATACGAAGCATTTTAATACATATTATATTCCGCCCCCCTTATACTAATGTCTGGCTCCGCCCCTGACCACAGCAGTGTAAAATACTGGTCAACTCCAGTCCAGTTTGGGATTAAGTTTGCCAGCAGGGTGCTCAATACGGCCAGCCAACAAGCCAACTTAAGGAGCTTAATGATGGATTTGGCCCAACATATGAATACCTGGGGTACTCACCTGCCATAATGTCTTTGAATGTCTCCTGCAAAAATTGGGTACAAGATCATGCAAGTCACTCAAGGTTATCCAAGCTACGAAGAGAAATTTTTGAATAACCAAATTTGTTTTACTCCATATGATACGTTGTCCCGTAGAAAAATTACCTTATCTTTTGACAGGCGTGGGTTATATAGTATTTCTTCTCCGACTGTACTGACCTGAAAAAGAAAGAACACATAATGAGGCGCTCTTATATTTGCATACCGAAAAAGAGAATAGACGAAAGATGTCATTACAGTGAATCCCTTGTAGTCATGAGCTGGATACACTAAAGTGTCTTTTGGCAATGTAAATATCTGTGATCACAAAGAAGGTAAACGAAAAAGGGAATTAAACAAGGACATAAGAAAGGGATGTGGCATCACAATTAGCTGTAAGCTTCACTCCTTGTTATGCATATTGCAGGTAAAGATTGTGCCCTTGCCTGTGTGTGTACCGAGTTATACAGCTGCTCTGAGCTTCCACCCTGCAATAATATGATTACTGAAAATGAATACATATATAAAAAAACTTATTCCATGTCGAAGCATGAAGATTTTGTTAGGATCATAATCCCAACATTTATGTATACTATAACAAGACTAGGTAGTATTTGAGATGTAAAAGTAGTAAAGTACTTGGTAAACTAAGGATGTTTTTACTTGGACTGTAATCCATCACAGACCAGACCAGTCTCGGATAGTTATAAAAATACAAAGAGACCAGACCAGATCAGACCACCAAATTACAGTCCAAGTAAAAACAATTACAGTCCAAGTAAAAACATCCTAACCGGAAAATTGAGCATGGTAATAGGCATTTGTAGGATGGAGATACATCAATACAGTGTACTTCAAATTGCATGTAACCGTTAAGTTTAAAAAAAAGTAATTTCATGTTTCCCAGTTGTGCGCCATTGCACTTTTTCTTTTCATTTAGACAACTCTTGACAAGGGGTGTTTTAGTTGCTTTGCAATCAGTGAGACACTATCACACTACTTTGAGGGACAGTACCTGAAAATCTGTCCTTCCACATCCACGGATCAGTAGGGTATCACCAGTGAAGGCCATTCGGGGGTAGGGTTGGTTGGAGCCATCTCCTGTAACATAGGTGACACAACCTAATGTGTGCCCTGGGGTGGCACGTACCTACAACAAAGGTTTTCTTTTAAAGGATAGAGCACAGAGAAGATACAAATGCTCAGCCTCTACAACAACATCCAAGCCTTAATCCCAAAAGATTTTGGGGTCGGCTAACATGAATGAATACTTGATATCGAAGCCAAAAGGGAAAAAAAGATAAGATATGATAAAAAAGAAAAAACAGATAATTTAAAATAGAGATAAGATATACATAAAAGTGATAAGATAAAAATGATAGAAGGAATATATATATATATATATATATATATATATATATATATATATATATATAAGATTAAAAACATAAGAAAGAAAAAGAAGATAAAGGGAAAAAGAGGATAAGAAAGCCTCAGCCTCTAGGGAAACAAAATGCTTCAAAGGCTGGATTAGTGGATCCACATTCTTTGAATATTCGCAGTTGGGGGGAGGGGATATTTTTATTGTTTCAGAATTCAGACAACATTCTCCCTAATGGGTGCTAAATGAATGAAATGCTATCTACACAAAACTACTTCAAGTCTGTGGCCACATCACCTAGTAAAAATATGTTAATCATTAGTATAGAATGAAATCTAAAACATCCCCCTCTCCATGGTTATCTTGTAAAGGCAAGACAGCATCTCCAGGGTGCCCAAAAACTAAAAAAATATGTCCATCTATATTTAGAAAAAGTACCAAGTGTAAAAATATTTTGCAAAAAATAATAATATCATATGCGATCCATATATCCAATTAATTTTGTCCGAACAGCAGAAAAAATTTTGCGTTATGCACTCGCTGAGACAAATCATTTTTACCTCCAAAAAAAGATCACCAAAATGGATTTTGTCCCCAGGTTCAACGAAAAGATCAGCACTTGCATTGCTTGCTTTGGAGATGATAGATTTTACACTAGGATCCTTACACTGCAAAATACAAATAAAATCAATCAACAATAAAAACACAAAACAGGGAGCAAGCTTAGTGCTGTGAAAATAAATACCAACCTTGATCAAACCAGTGCCAGTTACGTGATCAGCATGTACATGCGTGTTTAGAGCATAAATAAGCTTCAATCCTAATTCTTTGACAAGTGAAAGATCCCGATCCATTGTTTTGTCGACTGGATCAATCAACTGCATTTATACCATTAGTTGCCTTAAATGAACTGACAGCCAAATGAAAGAGATGCAGAAGGAAACAGAGGTTAGTTTAATAAGTGAATTATAAACAGTAATACATGGATAAACCTCACTGAGAGTTCATACATGTTACATACAGACACACATTTTTGTTTAATATAAATGTATGCATTTCCATAATATGCATATACAAATCCTCATTTTAATATTAATGGACTGCACCATATTAATTGTTTGCTCCTTCTGACTCAAATCACTCAATAAGAACTGAAGTGAGTGGATTGAGGAATAATCCAACAGAAACTAACCACACACGTGTTAAGAGCACACATGCTTGAGCTCGTCCTTGGACTAGATCTAACAAACGGGAGAGAAGGGAAGTGATGAGTGGTCATATCTTTTGGATCAATGAATTCCACACAACAGAGACTTACTGAAAAGCTCATGTTGGAATTAATGGCTTGACTGACCTTGTCAATACACACTAGAATTGATTCTTTAAAAAGTAGTCAAAGTGTACTCGTATGATTTCACTTAGACTTGTGCACTAGACCATACCAAACTTAAACGTAAACCAAACCAAACGTCCAAACAAGATCAAATTTAAACAACGTACTTAAACCGATGAGACTGAACTGAGTCTTAGACAATAGTAAAATACACTTAAACTAAAACTTCACCTGACCCTACCAAACTTAAACAAATCAGAAAATTACATACAACATTCTATAAGAAACATAAAACTAAAACCTAACAAGAAGCTGCCTAAAACTGGAAAAAACTGCCTAAAACTGAATAAAGGAACAATATTAATAATAGGAGTAGATACACAGTACTCATATCTAAAAAAAATGTTCTTCCCACAGTATCATATTTATAAAATGAACCCCAAAATAAACTTTGGAAAACTAATACTATCCTCCGTTTCTTTTCAATTGTAACATGGAAAATTTTACATTATTCATGTGCTTTACTTCCACTATATTTTATGTAGTATTTATTAATGTAAGAATTATTATTATTTTTTAAAGTATTGTTGAAATTGTCCCATTATAAATTTTCATAATTTGATTTTTAATTTTTTTTACTAATAGAGAATTAAATATAAAGACGGTTAAAGTTTGAAAATTGGAGCATTGCAACTAGAAAAGAAAGGGAAAAATAGAATTTGTCACTGAAAATTTTTACCACTGCAGGCTTTTCAGGGTGGAGAACATCAGCAAGAAGGTAAGTGTAGGTAGATGACTCCTTCTCGAAGAGCTGACGGAAGAGGAGTTTGTTCTGGGATCCCATAGCAGAAGACGTCGTCGTATAAGATGCTATCTGTGAACGACGTTGAGTGGAGCCCGAGATTGGTGAGCGAAGAAGGAGAACTGCGCTCTGTAATTTCGGAAGAAGAACAGGGAGATGAGAGGGAGAAGGGAACAAAGAAATTCGAAGCATAATCTGCGTGATCAAGTTTGGTATGGGAGAGTGAGAGATAGATTAGAGTCCCATACTCCCATACAAAATTTAATTAAGTCCCAAATTATTTAACCCCCCAAATTTAAATTCTTTACCATATTTAATCATTGGATTTTATTTACTCCCTCCGTCCCAGGGAGAAGTTACTTTCACATATATTAAGGAAATAAAGTTACTGAAGAGTAAATTTTACTGTTTGACACTGTTTCGACACTGTTTGGCACTGTTTCGACACTGTTTGACACTGTTTTACACTGTTTGTCACTGTTTTGATATAGGATAACTTTCCATTTAGGAAAATGAGAACTTTTTGTTGGGACTGCCAAAAAAGGAAAGTGGGAACTTGTCCCTGGGACGAAGGTAGTATTACATTTATAGCCCGTTTGGTAATACTAAAATTGGCTGTATTGGCTGATTCTACTGAAATTTATGAAGTTCTGGCTGAAGTGGCTGTATTGGCTGATTCTGCTGATTCATGAAAAAATATATTTAAAATATTTGTCATTAATAAATAAAATAAAAAATTATATGAAAAAATAGCTAAAATGATCCTTTACAGTAACTTCAGCCAATATAGCCAGAAAAGTAACTCCAACTTTACTTTTTCTGCTTATTACACAATTCAGCGCGCGAAATAAAAAATTATGTGTTTTGTGAAAATGCTGGCCAATAAGCTTGATAAGCCGAAAATGGAGTCACCAAACGTGCTCTTATATTGAAATGAATTTAGTAACGACCAGACTTGAAATTAAGCTACAATCCTACAATGAGTCATTTTCATCCTTCTATTTTATCTCTCCAACCATACAATTATGACTATAAACATGGACTTTGTGGTACATAGATATAGGTATATGTTCAAAGTAAACATACTAGCATGCAAACAACATGTACGAAACGCGTTAGTTTGTGTGCAGATTTATCATGATTTTCAGATGATTTTTTTCCATAAAGACACAAGATTGTCTATGAGTCTATGACCTAATTCGATGGGTAATAAATATGCGTGACCCGGTTTGATCTAATGCGTATGAAATGTCTACACAAAATGTGTACGAACATCATTTCAACTATTTCCATTTCACCTCTAACATTCTATCTCGTCCACCAAGCTGGAGAAGTAGCAAAGATCAAGTTAGCAGATGTGTCTCATCACACTGCTCTTAAATCGCCCCATTTTTTACCATTACCGCTTCTACTTATTCGTATTGTAGGAATTTCAAAAGTTGGATGAAAAGATGGTGGTTGAAGTAGTTGACCGTGATGATTAAGGGCTCTTGTTCCTCCCCTTTGCCATACACCCAGGGTATGCTCTCTAAACCATCATTCTTATTATCCTCCTATGGAAGTGAATTTTAAAAACTTCATGGTGGTGTTGCTATGATCATTCCTATGTTGTGTTGCTCTGTAATTATGATGTAAATGTGTGGTAAAAGTATCATAATAATAAAACAACAGTAGAGTAACTGCATTATGGTCATCCTTTTGCTCTGCAGTGTTTGGTAACTACATTCTGAAAATTTTGTTTTGATAAGTGTATCTGTATATGTGATGATTATATAATATGATAAATGTATTCTAATTGTGTGGTAATTTTAGGGTAAATGCGTATGGTTATTGCTTTTATATTCCTGGTTTTGTTCTTAAATTCCTGGTTTTGCAGTTCTTTGTGTAAATGATTGGGTAGTAACTGCACAGGTGCTGATAATCGCATTCTCAAAACTTCGATTTGAAATTTATTTGTGACAACTCTGAGGTAATTGTGTGATAGGTTAAGTAATCGTGTAATAACATTTTAACATCAGCATGGTCATTTTTTGCTATAAAAGTGTTCCCTTTACATTCTGAGTTCTGACAATTTTGATTAGATAATTGTTTATGATTTTGTGTGGTAAGTTTATAAAAATTTTATGGTAATTGTGTTGCAGCTGTATTATATTCAGTCTTGTCCTGCCATGGGTGTTTTTATAACTAAAACGAGGCCATTATATTCAGCTGATACAGTTGGTAATTAATATATGTCACTATTAATGGTAAATGAGAGCGCTAGTCGATTCTGGTCTCATGTTAGAAGAGTAGGCTTTAAACTAAACTTTATTTTGCTTTATTTATGTATTAAACATTTCAAGGTGACTCGTTTACAAATACAATATAAATCTTATTCAGCTATCTATGTTCAGGAACAAAATTTGACTGCACATCAAGAATGCCGCTTTCCTGAATGATCTATGCTAGATGCTGCCTAAAAAGAGTCGCAGAAGAATGTTGTGCATCAAATATCAAGTTGTGCTTGGATGAACTCATTTGCTTTTCTTCTTCCCATAGAGAATAGAGTGAATCTGCAGGCTGCGGTTAAAGGCCTCATTGAAAAGGAAGCGGGTTTGGAAGGCAGAAATTATAGGCATCCATGCCAGGGAAGCTAGAGGGGCAAAGATAACAACTCCCATTCCGTAATCATAAGCTTGAGCAAAGACCTCAGTGAAATTCCATACCGCTGTTCCTTCGATCAATGGTCTCACAACCTGGGCAACCTGAGAAATGGTATGATAGAGGAGAAAGTAAAAAATATTTATCATCAAAGTTTAGTGTGCACAGTGATGAAATCATATAAAATATTTATATTGTTGTTACCATTATCAATCCCCACCCGGTTGGTAGAAATGCTAAACAGCAGACAATCAAATCTCTAACGGACAGATCACAGACGTATGAAAGGGTTATGATTATAGCTATAACTCCCACAAAAAGCAGCGCTTTAAAGAACCTGAAGGCCAGGTGGTATTCAACACTAAGAAATCGTCTCCCGATTCTGACTGCCTATACACATCATTGTCATATCATTCATTCATTTAGTTTGTCTGATACATTCTAAGCAAAAAAACTTCAAACAAAAAGGTAAAGATCAAGTAACTTAAGCGAACAAACTATAAAATAATGGTATCAGTTAAGAGCCTGTCTGGTAAGACTGTTTGTGCTTAAATGGATAAACCTGGTAAACTTTCTCTAAGGAAAGGCATTTGGCAAAATCGGTTTCAGTCAAGCAAAGAAGACTTTAAGGTTATCAGCATAACTACCCGATAATGATACCAAATTGGGTCTAAGAAGCCTTTAAATTTAACGTGTGTGACTTTTCCTTCAAAGAAGTAGCAAAGCAGTTACCATTTATACTGACCAATTGCTTCAATTTGTCATTGTCAGTTGACTATTGGCAACATGTTTCTCCGAAATTTATATTTAACATTTTTTCCCAATGGGTAGTTTCTTTAAAATACTTATATAATTTTTCATTTAACACATATATATGCACTAATATTTCATAGGGAGGAGAATTATTCCAGGTTTAAGAGAAATATAAGATGGAAGTGCATACCTTGACCAAAATGAAAATCAAGAGAATGACCACCCAAGAGAGCAAATAAACAATGAAATTTTTGTTGTCCCCAGAGATGTCTAGGTGATAGACCAATCCATATTGGTAAATGAAAAACCTCAGAGAAAGGAGTATCTCAAAAAAACGGGAAAGCAGGCTAGAATGGCGAAGATGAGCTTGCTCATCATACCACCATGACTGCCAACTTTTGTCCTGTTGGATTCCTATACCACCTTTCTGGTGTATCCACTTGTTCCAGTCTTTCCAGTCATCCATTATCTTTCCCCATTCAAATCCAGAGGGATTAAACAGAAACGGAGCAAGCAGCCAAGTCATTGACATAAACCAGACCGAATACGTAATTAGAACATAAACCACTGTGTTTTCATATCCACGTCTAAACAGATCATAAACCACCAACAGAAGAATCAACTCGTATCCTTTCAAAAAGTGGCTCCGCGAGTATAACCTATAGTTCTCAGTGAAGCTTGCGTGAAAAACCACAACCTTTCGCCCAGTGGGCCTATACTTGGCACCCCCATGGAGAATTGTTCTACCATAGTAGTGGGCTTTTGTACCAGATGAAAACGTAAAGAACACAGCAGCCAGCTGAAGTTGCATTAGCACAAAATCTTTAAGTGCATTTAGCAAACCATGCTCAAGTGCAATCTCTACCACCATTGGTAAGCCTGTCAGGAGACCTAGTTGGATAAAGGACTGTGATGCCAAAGCTGTTTCAAGTGGTTTTAGGTTTTGTTCTTTTTCCTCGACAGCTATTGCTCTCTGAAGACCACTCAGGACTAGATATAACTGCCCGTAAAGGAACACATATATTGTTATCACTGATATCTGCATTTATGTATTTGTCACAATAATGATAAAAATAAGGTTAATAATAATTTGAAATAATGAATAATATATGATTAGGATAAACATAACTTTTAATTCACAATGAGACCATTAATGTGTTTTCAAAGTGACTTGGTGAACATGGCGTCGTTCAATTTTACTATGCAATAACCATAGTAGTCTTTTTGCAGTGACCGTGTGGCCATTTTTTCGCAATGAGTTCTGCTTTAGTAATACTATAGGAAATACCCCTAATAATTTGTCTAGATTATGGCTCTTGGCACAGCTCTAATATCATAGGAAAAATATTCTTTTCTCAACAAGGTTGCAGCAAATCAGAAGCAGGCCAATCTTTGAAGCATAAAAATCAAACCTAATGGAATTTCTATAGTTGAATAGCAATTGAGGGGAGAGTTTGGGGAATCGACTATTACCAGGCTGTTAAAGTAGAACCCTATTGTAGTGAAATAAAAAGAGAGCATCCGAAAGAAATCAAATCGATGACCGAGGCGGTATATGTCTCGACTAATTGTTTGTTCACTGTTTCCATTTGCTACTTTTGCTTCAAACTTGGAGATCTGGTTGAGTCCTACATCACGTCCTTTGCCAACTTGCATATACTCAAGATATGTAACAGATCCCTGCCGTAGCATAGTGTTAAATCCTACATTATATCTGTAGATTATCAAATTAACTGTAATATGACAATGATGAAAAATATTTCTAGACAAGCTATGTTGCGACCTGCAAAAACATCCTCGCTCAAGTTAATGGTTTTTGATGCCTTGCTAATACCTCCTCTTGTCAGGTGAAATATTCTATCGAACAAATCAGGATGACCATAATGAAACCTGACCCTGTATGTGATTTTGATTATTGAAAGATGAAATGACAGAGAACGAAAAATACAAAATTATCAATCATATGATAGTAGTGGATTTACATAGAAAACAGTGTAAGCAATGTTTGCTATGAAGAACATGCAGATTATGGATTCGTTCAACAGATGGATTAGCAGCATCTTCTTCATTTTTTCATAAGAACAATGCAAACAATAAGAAAGTACCTGAGTGGATTAGCTAGAAGTCTTTGGCCGATTGTGACAAAGCTGGTCTCTTGATAGGACATGAACCAAGCTAAAGAAGAAACACTGCATTGATGAATGCTTCTTCAGTTATTGATATAAAAATTCATTTTTAATAACAAAAACATAATAATATGTCGACTATGAGCTCCTTTAAATGTCTAGTTTTGTGTGAAGAGAAGTCTCATATTGCTTTTTAAAAAAAATAAGGTATCTAACTTTAAAGCACAATGCAACATTGTTTAAGATGGTAACCTTCCAGTAAATATATGCTCTCTTATGCCAATTATAGTGGGAGGCCTACGACCTCGGTGACGCAGAAGCTCCTGCAAGATATTTCTCATTTTGAAAGCTTCCTCCATATAATTATCCTGCCAGGGCATGTTATTAGTACATGTTAGTAAAATATCGAGTAAAGGGTCAGTTTGATACTCAAAGTTCCATAAAAAGGGTCAAATAAGTCTTTATTGTCAGGCCGTCGCCATTTGGGGCAGTTCCCGGTGGAATTTTTTGATGAAATTTTTTGAGCATCTTACTCATACCAAATTTCAGCTAAAACCTCAATCGGAAAGACATCAAATGATTTTTTGAAGATAACTACGCTTTTAACTGCGCAGTTATCTTCAAGAATTCATTTGAATGCCTTCCCGATTGATGTTTTAGCTGAAATTTGGTATGAGTAAACTAGACTTAATGAATAAGATGCTCAAAAAATTTCGTCAAAAAATTCCACTGGGAACCACCCCAAATGACGACAGCCAGACAAAGCCTCCTATATAAGGACTTATTGGACCCTTTTTATGCAACTTCGAGTACCAAACTGACCCTTTACTCTTAAAATATCTTATTCCAAAAGCCAAAATGTCAAGGTAAAAAATACTTGGTTCATGTCGATTGCTTGGAGAGCTTCTCCACGCGTGAAAATTATGGCATGATTTTGATTCTCTGGTTTGCCTTCTCCAATATTTGGTGAACCTGGGAGTTTGATGCGATACACCTCCTGAATTATTAAAAAGAGTTACATTGTATCCTATAATCCCATTGTCCTAAATGTTTTTCCCATTTTCCTTTTCACTCCATTCCGAAAAGTTCTTCTCATTTCTTTTGAGGAAAAAATTGTGGTTTATACTGATTCTTCTTTTCGAAATAAATCTCAATCACACAATTCACTTCCGCAAAACAGTGAAAACAGAGATGAAGAATGTTATAGGACGGAGTGACTAATTTCTTTTTAAAAAACTTGATAAACTTTTAGGTTTTGAAACTTGGGCAATGACATTGAACAGCGAATATATCTTACCTGGTCTAAACCATTGACAGCTTTAACCAGAATAGATGAATAAGTTTTGTGAGACCTTCCTTCTTCTCTCTCTTCCACGTAAGCAACACGTAAAGAAGGATAACTTTTGAAGAAGAAAACCAAACAAGAAAAGTCAATGTTGAATAAATTCCAAGATCCCTCATGCACTGAATGTAGTCTATATTTGCTATCTTTATTATTTCATTAAAATACCTTATCATCAAATCAAGTATGTCTTGCGCCTGGGGATCTCCAGAGGACTTCTGAGATCCAAACACTTGACAAGAAACAACATGAGTAAATTTCATGTCTGCAAGTGCTTCAACTTGAGCTGCTAATCTCTCATTTTCACTCCACATTGTGTCATAACCTTGAAGAATGCCTTTGTGACAAACAATGTTTCCTTTTAGAATATAGATAAAAAAATATAAAAAGGCACTACAGAACGGGGGGGGGGGGGGGGCATTTAGTAAACAGGCCTCGTCAACAAACCATCATTCCAAGCCAAGTCAAGAAAAGCTTGCAACTTTATAGCTTCCCTGTAGTACATCATTCCTCGTACTGTTTAAGGAATAATAAAAATATTAGTTGCATGATGAAAGTAGTGCATCTTCAACTTAGAGTAACAATAGATACCAATGTGTTAGACCTGTCCGGCTTAGAGTTTGCCCACGAAAAGAAGCCCATTTCCTGATCTCTTCTTCATAACTTTCATCAACTAAGTCATTTGATATATCCATTCCTATACGTTCAGAAAAGTTTTTCCATTCATCTGGATAAAACGTCAATTAGATCTTATACCATGATACAAAAATGGCTTTTCACCACTCGTTGAGTTATTTAAACCAAGTTGTATGTGCCTACCAGGATATATCTTCTTCATATAAAAATTAATAGACACTCCTTGTTTACTTGAATGAAGCTCCTTCGATGAAAATTTAACTTCTTCCTTGTAGTGTGGAGTTAAAATGCTACAACAAACATTATGTACATTATAAGGTAATAAAAAAGGCTGAAATATCTACAACTCTAGTTGAGAAATAACACTACAAAAAAATGATTGTTGGTGCAGTCTACAAATAATAGGTGACATATATTAAAAAAGGGCAGACCGGTGCACGCGATGCGCATTGGCGTTCCCGCAAGGCAAGGGTCCAGAGAGGGGTCCCACCACAAGGGTGTACAAGGGGCAAGCCTTCCCTTGTCATTTTGACAAGAGGCTGTTTCCAAGACTAGAACCTGTGACCTCCTGGTTACACAACAAAATTGTATTTCGTACGCAAAGGCTCCCCTTCAATAGGTGACATATACTATAAAAAAATAATCACATGTGTCACATGAATTTAAATGTTCATGCTCTCTCTCTCTCTCTCTCTCTCTCTCTATATATATATATATATATATATAGATATATATATATATCATGAAAAATGTGTTCATTCCGGGGTAAAAAAAAATTATCATGAAAAATGTGTTATGTAATGATGTAGATGTGAAAAGATAATTATCAATACAATAACAAGCAAAGCAAGTAGGTTCAACCTGAAAGACAGCATGTTGCGGACGTTTGGTGCACTTGGCATGTCCATGAATAAAGAAGTGGCGAAAAAAGTAATTCGTCTCCGTGCTTTCAAGTTCTTTGGCACATCCAATGCTTTATCTTTGATAGTGAGCAGAAAAAGAAACCGCTTGATCTAGAATAAAACTTAAATAAGTTTTTCCATTTCCTAATTACTCCCTCCGTCCCACAAAACTTTTTCAAATTCACTTAACTTGGTCAATGATAGTAAACTTTGAAATATGACTTTTGTTATTATATTTGTGTGGAACTTATAACTTTTACACTTCTATGAAAGTATTTTAACAAAGAACGTTTCCATATAGTTTTCGTATTTTAAATAATTTCATATTAAAAAATATAATTGGTCAAACTTGACCATCATTGGCTAAAAAAGTCAAAATGGCCAGGTTTTGTGGGACGGAAGGAGTATGATTTACAAAGAAAACATTAAATGGTAATCTTTGTAACATAAATCTAAGAAGTACTTAATATATTTGTGGGTTTGTTAGGAAGCACCTTATCCATTAAGGAGTCAGTATCTTGCATTGGAAAATTGAGGCAATGTTTTGATGCAAATAATGGTGCTTCAATTTGACTAGAAAAAAATTCTGTTGCCTCCATTTCTTGTTGAGCGAGAAGTGAAGCCACTACCCTGTATGAGACCAAGAATTTAGAAGACAAGATCGAGTAAAAACTGATGACGAGCAATAATAATCTGTGTCTAACCTGGAACCATTTAGCATCAAATCACTGGTCACTATCTCAAATATATCTTGGACTACTAATACTACTATGCTGTAGTTGTCTTCGATCCCCTCAACCTTGACATGAACATAATTAGTCAGACAAAAATGAAGAGGTGAATCATACCAGACTATTAACTGAAATAATGTGAAAATTTACCAGAAGCTCAAGTAACTCAATGCACTTCTCATGTACTCTTGGTAGTGCACTTATCTTCAGGTCCTCAAGAAAAGTTGATCTTCTAATACTCTCCTCAATTTCATTGAATATGCAAGAAACAACCCTGAAAGGGAGAAACACATCACAGTATGGAACTAATGAAACGGTGAAAAAATGCGCCAATTTTAGATTACTCGTTAGATAAAGGGATAAAGCACCTTCTTTCCATATCACCAACAACAAGGATGTCTATGATATATTTCAGTGACTCATAACACTCAGTTACAGCCAGATACCCACACTTGTCTTTTTTAATCTTTCTTAAAAGCTGTGCATCTTTACCCACAAAATCTGTGGCAATACTGAGTGCTGTCGAGAGCTAAAGATGAAACAATCACAAGTTTCAAGCAACTGTTAGCAGAATAATACACAACGAAAGAATTTAAAACTTAACAAGATACCTGGTTTGCTAAGAGGAATACAGGCCAACGAATCCGGCCTGAGAATAACTCTGACGAGACAGGCATTTTCATCAAATCCATCTCCCTGTTATTTTATAAATGAAACAAATATAAAGCTGATGATGGTACTATTAATTGTTTAATATAATATAAATGAATCTGAGTCATTTGTTATTAACCTGTTGCTTATCAAGTCTTCTTCACGGAAACTATAAATAATCTGGTTCCATACAAGTACAAAGTTCACTTCGCCATTCATCTTGATTTGTGAATCCTGAAACTAAATTAAAAATAAGAATATATGCAAAAGCATATGGGAAAATGAAGTAGCAAGTTAATTTCAAATATCATCAAACACTAACCTTATGGAAACTCTGGTGGAATAACAACCTTTTTATTCCATTCTCACTTTCTTTTGCCTGTAGTGGAACGAGACGTTTGTTGAACGCAGAAGGAAAACTTTCAAATCTGGTTCTCATCATTCCTAGTGTCCTAATCTGAGTTGGAAAACAAAATGAGAAACTTGTACCATGGATTTGGAAAGTAACTTAATGATCCAGAACTTACTTCACCAAGGCGGCTTAGAATTCCATATACTCCACCAAAAAGGGAACAATAAACAGAGTACCATATTTGTGCATCCATGAAATATACCTGGACCAAAAAAACAGTTTACCACTAAATACGGAAAAAGGAAATACATTTCGAAATAAAAGAACATTTTACACACTCGTGCAGGAATCACATTGATCTTCAGTAAGACAGGTAATGGAATGGGTTTGTGTTCTGATAGGAGGATTATATAAATATAATAACGAAAATGGGTAACTTAATTGGCTTCTTTAGTTTGAAACTTACAAGTATAACAGGTGCCCATATAGCAGTGATTGCACCAGCATTGCTCTTTACTGGAAGGAGACAATTAAGTTGGATTATTTTAATGAATACAAATTAGAGTTATGTCTTGAGCAAGGAAGGAAGAAAATATAAATTGATAAGTTTGTACCTACAGGGAAAAGCTCGTGCCAGTCATAATCTTTGACCCCTATCCTCATAATCTGTCGTGTAGGTGATATAAGTGGTTTTATCTGTATATAAACAACAATTTGGTTCTGAGATTCTGCTTTACATTCCTAGGCCTGAGTGGACACCTGTACCATCCATAGGTCTTTGACTGGACATTCTGAACTCTGTAATTTATATACCAGCCAAAAGGGCTTACATTCTAGATAAATAAATATTGAAACCAACACTTTAAATAGACATTCCCAAATATTCATGGTGAAATACATTTATTTCTTTCAGATTAGCTACACATTATTTTGTCATAAAATCTCTTAGCTAAAGCATGTTCATCATCTCATATCCAAAATGAATCCAAATATTTCATCAGACCTTTCCATGAATTGGCTATTGGGACTCCTCAATGAGTAATGTAAGGCGATGTACGCAATTGGAGACTTTCAACAAAGATCCGATCTAACTCACCTCAAATATATAGCTAAATGTGAGTTTGCTTAGCAATAAAAAGACCCAAAAGAGTGTGTACCTACAAGGAATTTATATACATTCTTTAAGAAATCCATTTAAAGAGAGATCGAGTAATAAAACTAGCTCAATGCTAAAGAAAATAAGTACTTCAAGAGAGCGAGTTGACTTTCTTGCATTCCTCGTCCAACAAATAGCCTTGGCTGCAAGATAGATAAAAACAAAATCCAATCAAGTGGCAATGAGCATTCATTCCATCACTATTATGAAAAAAGTATCTAAGCCACTGCAACGTCATGACACGCGTATGGGGGGATACTTGATAGTCATGACATGCGTATGGGGGGTACTTGTTTGGATGGAAACAAATATGGATAGATAGAAACAAAGTGGAAAGTGTAATTACGACTATTTATCTTGTTTGGGTTTAAGTGGGAAAAAAATAATGTTTATCTTCCCCCAACCCAACTTCTCCCATTTGGATAAAAACAAATTAGAATTGCTCGTTTTCCCTTTTCTTCCATTCACTCCTTATTTAACATCATTTCGAACAACAGGAAGAAAATAGGGCGATAGTGAAATTATTTTCCTTTTCCCAAATGGAAAATAACCAAACAGCCTAATAGTAAAAAAAAATGACTGGTATTGCTCATTTTCCCAACATAATGATTTTCTACTGTAGAGAAATATCACCATATCTCATAGATTCAATATGCATGGTAAAGATAGTTAGTAATAGAGAAACTAAGATAATGAGCTCTAAGATTGCATCTTAAAATCCAGTTTCCTAACAGAGTGCAATCATGCAAGCCATGGAGCATAAGTTTTACCTGTGTCCACCAAGATAAAAGAATGCATATACGGGAATTGGAGGTCTCAATGTATTTCCCAACCACGGGTACAAGAAATAGAATCATGTCAACAGAATTAGTCATCAAGTACAGTGCCACTGCAACCATATAGGTGGAATAACACCACTCTCCAAGCCAGTCTCCAGCGTCTGCTGAATAACAAGTATATTTTCTTCGAGAAGTTGCATAAAATATAGGAAGAATAATGGTCCATATCACAGCAACAACCACCTTCAGTAGGCATTTGGTGATTTGAGCAGAGTTCAATGAGTTTATTGCTTTCCATGTAAAGACAGTGTCCATAATAGCTGCAAGAATTTGTACCTCTTAAGGTTTTGTTTTACACTTCTGCTAGACAGCCTAGACACTAAAGTAATATCTGATAAACTGTAATGGAATGGAAGATCTTAACAACTAATATGTTCCATTTATATGTTCTTTTTCGGAAGATTTGATTGACATTAAATTTAAATCTCCCCTAATAATATTTAAATTAGTATTAATAATTAATATATAAAAATTTATTCTTGAATTAGTATTAAGAATAGAAAATAAAAAATTATTCTTAAAATAGGAACATATTTTAGTGTAAATTAACGTTGAGCATGCATTTGATTACATAACATTATGTTCCATTACGGCTTACCAAATGTTGTCTAAATGTGTATATACGTAAAAACTGGTTAAAAAGGAGGAAACAATCAGACAGACGGAAGTGTCTAGACTTTAGGCAACAAAGAATCAAGATTCAAGAAAAGGTTAAATATAAAGATCAATATGACAAGGCTGGGACTAATTTCTCAACTTCTGAAGCAAAACTGGTCAAATCTAATATTAGCAGGAAGAACAAGGTCCTTCGGTATAAACCATCTAAACCGTGAGGCTCGGGTGTCATATATGCCTTTGGTAATACTGTTAAGTGTTCACTCTTATTTTAACCTTAAAGTATTTTTTCATAAAGACCTTATTTTATTTTTAAACTGCCCTAAATAGGACTAAACACATTGTCAAAGTTCCTAAGTGGGAGTTTGTGTGTATTATTCCCTAAGTAGGATTCCAGATTACAATATTATGTTTAGAATAATACATGCTAACATGCCCACTGATGCTACTTCCCAATTATGTATATTATGATCCAATCATCCAAATATATTTGTTTAATATTTTTAAATTTTTTAATTGGTGCTATGTTCATATTTATTATCCACCTAAGCTCAAATGTATTTTTAACTTTGTTAAAACCAATATACTTTAATACAATAGTGTTCCTACTTTGCTTATGTTGTATTATCATTATTAAATTATAAAGGAATATAATGTTTCTATATATGAATTTAATGTTTTATATAATTATATATATTGGAGTTGATTGGGTTTTCCGGTCGTTGACCAGGCTGACCTGCCGGGTCTGGGTTGACCCTTGATCCAGTCATCTGTCCGGGTCACTTCCTGGTCTGATTCTTACAAATAGCTTCTAGTCCTATAAAACATGTAAGTCCTACTTTTGCACTTCTTAATATTTTAGTCCTAGTTACGTAATTCTCCCTATTTTAATTTGATAGCTAATGTAGACCTTCAAGTTTCCCTCGAACGCACTATTGTTAAAAAAAACATGTTGCAAGTCATTATACTTTGAGATATCATACCATGCACAAGTTTAAGGACAGCAGACGTGATGAATATGCTCATAACATCCTCCAGTATTGTAGCATCAAACACTTGTAGCAGCGACTCTAAATCATGACATGCCATAATTACCATAGCCTAAATGAAATATATAAAATAAGAATAAATAGAACAGTATCAGTTGATTTGATAACTATTATATTATCATAAATCTCGAATCGTTTGGGAACATAACAAACCTGAAGTGAAAGGATAAGAAAGCTCCATAACCTATCAAAGCTTCTAAAAATCTGCCAAAATGAATGGATCTCGACGAAATTTGTCTTCCCTAACCATTTTTGTTTCTTTACCTCCTTCAAATTCAACAGGACATCACAGCAAAAAGATTTGAGTATTACGATATAAAATTACTGAAGGGATTGAGTCTTTAAGCATGATTCATCTTTTAAATCTTCTGCATTACACTACTGAACTACTGAGAGAGCAGTGTAGTATGTGGCAGAAGATATCAGTAGAACATATATAGTAATGAAATGATCAACTGAACAAGAATAATACTACCTCTGCCAATTTTAGTGTCCTATTTCGGCTTACGAGTTTCGACTGAATTTAGAGCTAAACCTCCCCTAACAATATTTTAATTAGTACTAATACTTACATAGTAAAATTTATATATGTAGAAGATAACTACAAGTTGAACAGCTAAAAAATTGAATTCAATTATGTTAAAATGTCAATACAAAAACCAGCTTGTGCAAAAAGGAATCAGATTGACCACATGAATAGCGAAAGTGAGAAGCAAAAATGTAGCAGTGGGAGTATATGTGACTATTACAAGGAAAGGTCATCTTAATCTGTCCGTAATCACTTAAATAAAAAGGGAACATATTAAAGGAATAGACTACCCTCATTGCTTCATCTTCATTATTTTCACTTTTTTTGTCGGCAACATTTCCAAGTGGATTCTGAACCTTTTTAACCTTCTGATTCGGTGAAGAATTTACAAAAAAGAAATCATGGTTCAAGCGCATGGGCCATCCTATTTGGAAACAATTTGGGGACCTGAAACAAAAGCAATAAGTACGACTCAGCTAACTGATTTTCACTGTTATAACGTAAAACTAAACGTATACTGAAGACTTACCAGAAAAACTCATTGAGATCATCATAGTTCCTCCAGGTTGAATGACTTGATGTGCCATTGCTGCTCTTCATAGCTTCCTTAATATTTGATGGAAAGGAAGATACCAGATTAGTAGGACATGAAAGTGGACTGCTGTCCTTTAATATATACCACATTTTACAAGACAGTAAAATGGATTGCAATATGAAATTCTCGAGTACCTCTTTTATTACTTCGTAAATTGGTGAAACTACATTTTTAAGAAAGGACTCATATCCACCTCCGTAAGCCGGCATAACCTTCTGTCCAGTTGTCATGCTTACAGCATCAACCAACATGCTGTGCAATTCATAGGACATCTAAAGAGAGGCAACACATTCAAACCAATATTAACTTAGTATTTACATAACAGGTAGTCTATCATATGTACCTATGTGGCTATGTATTAACTCTCATAAATAGAAAACTTAGAGGATCATACTATAAGGTGCATGAGGTGAATATGTATGGTAACTCAAGGTCTCGATTTGTAGGAATTAATAGGTGCATTAAAATACATCTTATCATATGCACCTCATGCATAGATTAGATATCCCAACCATAAAAGTTCATCTAATTAATACTATGCCGTATTCCTGCCTGCATGTTCAACATCTATGGCACATTGATTTCTTGCCGTATTCCCGTCTTTTCCCATCAGGTGGGGCCGGTTATATGGATTAAGTGACGTCATTTGTTCAGGTTAAGAACTGTTAAATACTCCCTCCGTCCCTCAAAACTTTGCCAAGTTTGACCGGCACGGAGAATAATAAAGTAAAAACTTTGTGGTTGAGGTTTGTACAGAGGAAAGAGAAATAAAAGAAACCACAAATTAATTGATTAAAAGGTAAAGTGGCAAAGTTTTTGGGACAACCAAAATAGGAAAGATGGAAAAGTTATAATGAACGGATGGAGTAATAAACTACTACTTTTATTGATGCGACTTTGAGCTTGCAACTTCTTACTTCCTAGAGACTATAACAATGCTTATATGTAGAGAAAAATAGATCTAAACCCTGTAGGAATAGGAAACCTCCTTAACAAGAGTCCCCTCCTCTATAAGCTTCATACTCACAAGGTCTGGTCCAATTGTCTCATTACAAGTCAACTTAGGTTTTCCTCTACCCCTCTTACATTTCATTTATATATCTTCGCCTCTTCTAACAGATGCATACACAGATTTCATCTATTTACACAGATCAATAATTATTTAAAGTTCAAGCTAAGTGATAAGAGGAAACATATCATTTTGATACATATTCTAACATTCACCATTTAAAAGGTTTTTCATCATTAACAAGTAAATTGCAGTGACTGAGCAAGTGCTGTGATGCATTACAACAAAAACAACAACCAAGCCTTATTCCCAAAAGGTGCTGTGATGCATTATAAGGAAAAAATGCAGTACATAAGATTTAAAAAAAGGCAAACTTCTTTTGACTAGATAAAGAAACTGATGTCTAGTACTGGAATTAGAGATGAAAAAAGAATGAGAGAACAATAACTCATAGATCCAACTTACGTGATGAAATATGTAGCATAGGCACTCCGGCATTAACCTTAAATTAGCAGCCTCTCCCCATATTAAAAGGTAAAGTCCCAAATACAAAAGCTTGCATTGCTGGGCCTCCTGTTTCAGCTTTGGCAGCCTGCATTATGATGCAATAAGAGTTGCAAACTGTGACCAAATCATGAACCAGAAGAGTAAAAAACGACATAGTACTCCACTTTCATTTTTTCATTGTCTAACAAATATGCCAATTTCCTTTTAAAAAGGTTACTGACTTCCAAGTGTGCATAGCCGAGTGATCAAAATGCAATACTCCTTTCTTCTAGGATGATGGTTGTAGTGGGGATTGAGGTAATAAAGTTCAAGTACAGATATCCCATAGCAAAATTACCTGATGTTGCTTTCCCTGTCCACAAATTTGCACCAATCTGAATAGTTTTTAAAAAACTTATTCATGAGCTCATCAACAGCAAAATCAACTACCTAACATCAACATAAGAAAAATATAAATTGGAATTAAAATAAAAAAGATATAAATCATATAATCAATATTCAGAAAACGGTGAGTGACATAAGTGATACCTTTGGAACTAATGTGTGCTCATGAGCTTGCCTGACATGGATGTTAGCAATTAGTAGTATCAGATGTTCTCTTTGGTTGTCAATGTTTCCTTTCTGACATGAAAAAGAGAATTTTATATTAAAAAACATAAATAAAATGTTCAAAAAAGTTGCAGCTTTCAATAATTTAACAAGTCCCTTAACATGGATTTAAGAAGTGCAAGTTATCATGAGCAAAAAATTTAGCTCTTTTTTCTTATATATTTGTTTTGGGGCGTGTGTCTGGAGGGGGGAGGAATGCTATGATAATGTACTTGAAATCCAAACCAAAACTGGAGCCAATCAAACAAATCCATGTTAGTCATTCGCCTTCTACATTCTTCAGGGAAGGGCAACCCACGAATATTACGGATTGCATCAAGAGTATCTTTGATCTGCATAAGATTTTCACATTTTCAAAACCGAACGTTAAAAGAGAGCCTACAACTAATTACAGTTTCAAATAAGTTTCTTGAGCTTAACTACATAGGATGCTAATAGCTTAAAAAACATCATAATGGTTATTAAAACTCTCACTTAGGAAGTCAGTCTCATTAACAATATTATAAAATAACAGGGTGCACACACCTCTTGGAGTTGCATGATAGGTTGATGAGCCCCTACTTGATCAAGTGGGAGGATATTATATGGAACATATATTTCAGATTTAGCATCGATGCTCTCACCATCAGTAATGGCCTACTTACAAAACAGAATTCACAGATAAAAAAGAATCTTTTTATATGATGGAAGCTTTTTCTTGAAGGAAAATGAAGAGAAATAGTACTCGGAACAATGACAATATAATAAGACCTGAAATCCTGCAGACGTGGAAACTTTATTCAATACTTCAAACAATACAGAAGCAATGATTTGTGCTTTGGTCAACTTCTCTCTACAAAAGTAGGTTAGATAATCCATTACAGTACAATAGACACAGTGGAAAACAAAAGTTTGTTCTTTCAGATAATGTTAGTAATACAAGGAATACTAACCTAGCTTTAAGGTTCAAATCTCCAACATGCTCGGCAATGTAGCTTTTGTATGTATGATAAACATGTCTAAGTTCACGAAGATCACTCCTTTCCTTCCTTTTCCTCATTGTGCCTTCTTCATCCTGGGGATCATATAAATAAGATTTATGAATTGAAACATTAATTGCTACTGATATGGATCTAGATACTACAAAGTGCCCGTTTGTTAACCCGTTTTTAGCTAATTAGCCAGCCTTTAAACAAACACTGGATTTTTCTCGCCAGCTGAAATGAGTAAAATTCAAAATGAGTAACAGTAAGGGTACTTCTTTACTTAATTGGCTCAAGTGGCTGAAAATGAATGTGATGCATTAAATTTGATAAATGAGAGTCATTCAAAACACGAAATGAATGGCTGAAAATGAATGTGCATCGCCATTGACCAGAAAAATGTGATGACATAATGGTAAATAAAGTGAACTTTTCTACCACCTCAAAGTGTGCATTATGTGAAACAGAAATGTGCATCAACATGAAACAGAACGTGCCCATTTTGCATCATTTTCATTTCTCACCACAGGACCCTACATATAGACCTATCTATATGTGTATGTATTTTTTGTTTTATAAGTAAATATGTTTCAAATATAATTTTATAATTCAGCATTTCCACGTACCTATCACCACTTACCCAATTTCAACATATTCAATTAATTCATCCCATTGCAATGTTACAAAACCAGTACTAAATACTTAAATATCCAGAAAAGTAGTATTATTAATGTGTTATTGAGACATACAAGTTCAAGGCGTTGAAGAAGGGAAGTCTTGAATTGCCGTACGCCTCGTCCACTTGAATGGCGGTCCACCGTGTGAGCTGCTTCAAATGCATGAAAGCGACCTGCTCCACAACCTTCAACTAATCAATCTGATACAGATGTTTCCTTAAGAACAAAACTAAGCATCATAAACATTAGGGACTTACAAAGATATGCTACACGAGGATGCTCCGAATCAATCTGATTCGCCACCCGAAGAAACCGCTGGATATCCGGAGCCAAAGTGACTGGCAGCCTCTCACTGTCAAAGGGCTCGGGCGAATACTCACGCCAGTAAGTGATTGCCCTGGTGAAGGGCCTGTCGCGGCGGGTGGAGCTGTAACTTGTACTAGCTACACCGTGGGAAGTACCCTCCCCAATGGGCTCTGCAGGAACAATCTCTGACATGGTAGAGAAATCCAGGAAGATATCGGGAATGAGGAGTGTTGGTTAGCTGCATGGGGGATTGAGGGTATAAATAAAGATTGAATCTTTGGTGCATATAGAACAACATATTGTGGGTTTTCTTCTCTTTGTTGCTTTTGGAGTGGCCCTTTTCGCTTTTGCTTTAGCTTTTTGATCGATCTAAGTATATGCTTCTTTGTAAAAAGTAAATGAATGATTGAATGGCTGCTGAAGAGAAGAAGATGGGAGTGGGAGGTTGGCCTGGCTTGTATCAGTTTCTTTAATTTGGCGGGTACTTTTTTTCTTTCTCTTTTTAGTGGGAAGTCGAGGTTCAACCATTTGGGGCTAACGGGCAACCGGCCAAAGCATTCGATCATTGTTCACCTGCTTAAGGAACCAAAAGGAAAGGAAAGGAAAAGAAAAAGAAAATGTTAGGCGTATACAAGTTCTACACAACTTGTACACACAATGTCCGTCACAGACAATTGGTACGGAGTTGTCTGTGACCACAGACAAGAGTTGTCTGTGTACACAAACAAATTTTGTCTGTTTTCACAGACATTTACTTTTTTGTAAAAAGTACTTGTCAGTGTCAGGCGACTGACAAGTAAATGTAAATGTCTGTGAAAACAGACAAAATTTGTTTGTGTATACAGACAACTCTTGTCTGTGGTCACAGACAACTCCGTACCAATTGTCTGTGATAGACATTGTGTGTACAACTTGTGTACCCCTAACATTTTATAAAAGAAAAAACCAAAAAGTATAACAAAAGGTTTATACGTTATAGAGTGTGCTCTATCCCTGTCAACGCAAAATCCATTCTGGTACATCTATACTTTATACTCCCACAATAATTGTAAGATGCATTCGGATTTTGCATGAACTTTAAAAAAATGGTTGATTTACAATTCTAATCAGCAAAAATTAAGGGAAAAAAAAAGATGAGTTCAGAAAAAAAAAAACATGATAGATAAAAGATAAGATATGTAATAATCCCTCCGGTTCACATTCTTCTTTACATTTACTATTCATTGGTCAACTCAAGTCACTCTTAGGCAGTGTTTTCCTTTGCTTTTCAAAAGCACTTTTGGCTTTTTTTTTTAAAAAAAGCTGTTTTGAGTGTTTGCAAGAAGAAGATTCAGCTTCAGAAAAAGTGCTTATAGGGTAAAAGCTGGAAGCACCTTCTACCATGCTTTTATCTGCTTTTTTAGTTTAATGGTAAATAAATACAAGTTTGAGGATAGTTACACCATTCCCTTCCCCACCTGATACCATCTTTACCCTTCTCGGCATCCTTGAATCTCTGTGTCGCAGGACTCGTAGCCTCCCTCGAAGAGCGCGTTGAGTGTATCGTTCTTCACTTCTTATCCAATTCCAGAAGACAGCTCCAACAGGCAAACATACGAAGTACTATCTATGGAGTATTAAATAATTTTTTCCCTGAAGACTCTAGCTTGTGAATTACGGAGTAATTTTTTTAGGCCCTTCATCACGGTGCGCAAGGGACGGAGACAGAGATAATATGGGCGAGTGGAGGTATGAAGAGGTCGATGATTGTGCGGTGAATGGCGGGCCGCAGGGGAGGATTAGGCTAAAGGGAGTGAGTATTTACAATTCAAAGGAAAGTGAGCTGATTGGTGGGAAGGATATTTTTGTACATTCACAAAAATATAATTTCACAATCACTTTTACACCAAACACTCCAACTTTAACTTTTTCACTTCAATCACTTCTATTCTAAAACACTCACAACTTTTATCATTAATCACTTTTTCAAAAATCACTTTACAAAATCACTTCTTCAAAAGTTAAGCAATAGCAAACATAGCCTTAATCTTTTACTTTATGTATCAGATTTTTATCAAATTTAAATTTTCTTGATCAGGCTTTGTAGCGGTTCCAATGTAGTTTCTGAATATGTAAATTTTATTTACTAAAAATAATCTGAATATGAACATGGATCGAGTTGTTTTATCGTTAGTCAAGCATTTTTTCCGAAGTGTCAAGGTGAATGTGAACCGGAGGAAGTAAAAAATTTAATGGAGTTCAATATAGAAAAACATTTATTTTTTTTATGATCCGAAAAGTAAAGTGTGTCTCACAAAATGGGACGGAGAGAATAATATAGTCTTAATAGAAGTCGATATATGGTGTACAATGTACATCTTATCTACTTAGGGGTCCGTTTACTATTTCACATAGTTCATTTCAAAATTATTACATGTGTGCTCATTATGTTCATTATTGATTATTTATTGTCACGGAACAAAACTAATTTCAATTTTTGTCAGTAATATACGGTTCGTGAATAATACAATAATACGTACGTTCGTGTATAATACAATACAATTATATAAAATACGGCTTAATACATGTTTCATACGTTCATGAAATATATAAACATACGGACGTGTTTTAAACGTTTCACAATTTAAAAATACGGCATATAGTATGTGTCTTATATACTAATTTAATGATATAAATAAAAAGTTATTTAACATTTCCAACACATTCTCTAACAATTTAAAATGTACGGTATAGTTTTTTCAGATATATGGATTTGAATGCATAGGTACAATAAGTAATAAAAATGTCATTGCCTATTTAAGTAGAAGTAGAGAGAGATTACTAGAGAATCAGTTGATATTACTGTGACCGTTTGATGAGCCGCCACAACATTTCTCGATCTGTTCGGAGTCTTGGTATGGGTGGAGAACAAAAGTAATACAATAATAGTACAATAGTAATATCGAAACAGATTACGAATTTAAGAAGCTAATTTATTAAATGTAATGACTATTAAAGAATTAACGAACATACAAGACATAAAGTTTTTTTAAGCAATATAAATAATATTGAGCAGCTAGACATTTCATTCCAGTTGTATCACTCCATTGGGCATCCGTTTAATGGTGTGCGTTTTTAAATAAAATGCGTATCAATACATACAATATGTGTGTTATACCTTTAATCCTTAATGTACGTGAATTTTTCAAAATTTTCTGAAAAGTTCATAAATGAGAGTATTATTCATGAATAAAATATGTATCAATACATACGGTATGTGTATTATACATTTTATAGTTAAAGTACGTGAATTTTTCAGAATTTTTTGAAAAATTCATAAACGGGAGTATTATACGTGAATTATACATTTGAGTGTATTATACGCGAATTATACGCAAAATATACGCGAATAAACCAACAGAGATTTCAATAATTCACACATGTATTGAAGAATTCCCTAAATAGGAGTAAAAGATAGATAAAGTGCAAAAAACAGGAGTACCATGTTTTGAATAGGAGTAGTTTTAGTGTTTGGACAAGTATATCTCTACCCAAACCCCAACAACTTTCATTAATAATTTTTTTAATCATCAAAACAGGCCTCTATTCATATCAAATGATTCAACATGACTACATCAAACAAAGGGAAAATAAAGCTGACACCAACTGAAACTCCAACAACTACGACTGTAACCCTATGGTGAGAATTTGAGACGATCACCCTGAAAGAGTAACACGAATCGCTAACCATGTAGTGGGCTTGACACAGGCACACAGCCAAACTTGTTCTCATAAATCCAATCATACCCAATGACATAAAGAGAGGTTAAAAACTCAAACAAATTGTCAAAACCAACAACAAAGATGAACACAAGAAAACAAATGACAAACAGATAAAAATTACTAGGAAAACTCTCACGGACTCTAGCACCTCGTGTAACCCATGGTGGTGGTTCAGGCGGAGGTCGGACCGTCGCTCGATTGATACCCTCTTTCAGTGGAGTACTTGCCGTGTGACCCAAATCCATGTCATCGAATGGAGCGTTCAGCCTCTCCATGCTAGCCATGTCCCGATCATCCCTACATCTCTCTCTCTCTCGCTTCTTACCCCATCTTCACGTTGCCACAATCATCCATCCCGAGCTACGTCCAAACCACAGCAATCTGGCGCAGAGCTGCGTCGATTGAAAGAAACGCCGTACCAGGGCGGCAAAGTAAAAACCCTACGCGAGAGATCTTGCTAGGGAAACACTAACCGAACTTCGATCAAGAAAGATCGAAATCGGATATTACCTAGCGGCGGCTCTGCCCTAGGAGCTCTCTAACTTTCATTAATAATTAAAACATAAGAGGAATATATACTCCGTAACATTAATTTATAATAAAATTTTTGAAAAAAATGAAAAAACTCAAAAATATATCAAATAAAACATACTTCATATTAAATAAAATTAATAAAAATAAAAATTACTCCCTCCGTCCCATTATTGGACTTTGCCAACTTCTCTTTTTTAGTTGTCTCAAAAAACTTTGTCACTTTTCTATTAAAGCAACTAATTTGTGGTTCTGCACATTTTTCTCTCCTCTGCACAAATCTCAACCACACAGTTTTTACGATTCTTATTTCTCACCTACTTTGCACTTGGCAAAGTCCACCGGGACGGAGGTCCTCAACCACACAATTTTTACGATTCTTATTTCTCACCTACTTTGCACTTGGCAAAGTCCACCGGGACGGAGGTAGTATTAAAATAAAAAAATAAATAAAAAATCAATTTTTTTTAAAGAAATATGTAGGAGTCTGCCGCCGCCTTAACAACCTCCCAGCACCACCAGCTCCAACCACCGAAAAAATGCCAACATTTTTTTCGAAATGCCATCATGGATTCATGATGGCAGATTTTGAGAAAATTTGGCATTTTCAAAGAGTAAAACAGTGATCTTTATGGCATTTTCAAAGAAAAATGGTAGTTCTAACATAAAATGATATTTTTTTCACCGATCAGATGTGACATTGTTGGGTGATGGCCGAGGTTGCGGGAAAGGGCTGCATAATTTTTTATATTTTCTAAAGTGGTTTATCTATTTTTTTATTTATTTTTAAAGTTTTTTGTTTTTTATTTTTTTTAATTTTTTTTATTTCAATATTTATTTTCAAATATTTTAGAATTTTATTTTACATTTTATTAGGATCAAATAAGTCATATTTTAGAATTAACTAGGTTAGGGGTATTAAGGGTACAAAATTAATGTTTCCACCTATTGAAGGAAGTTTTAACTTTCACTCCTATTTGTCCAATTATATTTGTAAAATTACGTTTGTTGTGTTTAGTCAATTGTGTGTAATTTTAGTAAAAGTATAATTTATAATTCCTTATTCTAGGCTATTTGGGTTTTTTATTTGAATATTACTAATTTTGAACAAATTATCAAAAAAGTGAGCACTTTTAAAAAGGGACAAAGAAGTGATCAAGAAAGTCATATTAATGTCATTCCAAAATTTTAATGTCACTATCCTGTTTTAATGTCACTATCGCCACCGTCCGTGTCACTGCCGCTTCCGCCCGTGTCACTGTAACCACCGCCCGTGTCACTGCGGCCACCGCCACGGTGACGCTGCCGACTATAGTGACACCACCACAGTGACACCGCCGCCGGTACCACCCAATTCCGCCGCAGCGCCGCTTCATCCGGTGATCACCGCCTAGCTCCACTGGCCACAGCCCGGCAACCGCCGGCCGCACGCCCTAGCACCCCAAATGCTCTTGACCACCGCTCCAAACTCATTCCACCAGCCTAAGTGCCCACAGCCCCCGCCTTCACCCTTCTTGGGTAGCCGTCACCCCTCCCCCCACCTCCCCTGTCAAAGCCCCATTAGGGATGTCAAAAAAAAAAAAACTGGCCCGCAATGACTCGCCCTGGCCCGAGACATTTGGGGCGGGTCCGGCCTGCCCTGTCTTGCAAAGGGGGCGGGTCCGCCCCGCCTATACAATGGGGCGGGTCCGCCCCACCTATACAATGGGGCGGGTCCACCCCGACCCACCCCCACCCGACCCGCTCAATATATAAGTATACATACTTTTTCTTAAGGGAAAATTAATTAAAATACCCCGAACTTTGAAGAAGTGTGAGATAAACACCCAAACTTTCATTTGTAATTTAAATACCCCAAATTTTATATAAAAAGTTATTTTAGCACCATGCCCATATATTATTTTTTTCGAAAATGTAAATTTATGATGTTAACTGAAAATTTAAAATAGCAAATTAAAAATGATGCAATTATATAGAGTGGAGGTAGTATTATTTATTTTATAATGGAAGTTTAGAATGTTAATTGTATCTTCATGAATGCTAAAATATTTTAATTTATGAAATCAACACCAAAAACTAACATTTTTTAAAGAAATAATATATGACCATGGTGCTAAAATTACTTTTTATATAAAGTTTGGGGTGCTTACCTCACACCCCTTCAGAGTTTGGGGTATTTTAATTTATTTCGCTTTCTTAAATTATACTACAAATAAATATACTTCAACTTACATATGTGTATACAATAAATCATAATTTTTTTTATCATATAATATACTACGGTATTAATCTATATATTAGAATGAGATGAATGACAAATTATCAATGTCTTCTTTATATATAGCATTTTAATAAATATATTCAATTATTAATATAATTAAATAGATTAACTATTCAATTGAGTAATTTTTCCTTAATTTTTGACATCATTAGCGTATCATGAATTTGATTTAATTTATTAATTTTTAATTATTATTTAGAGATATAGTTTAGGGAAAATGGAAAGTAATAATCCAACCTTTTTACAATAATCCAACCTTTTGGTTATTCATGAATAATCCAACTTTTGCACCTCATCTTCATTCACTGGTCCCTGACCGGTTGATGACCTGCTATTCCAAACTATTTTCTTATCTTTGCAAATCATTATACCATAAATCTCATCTTTCACAAAGATAATATTTTACAAAGATAAGAAAATAACTTGGAATAGTAGGTCATTAACCGACCAGGGACCAATGAATGAAGATGGGGTGCAAAGGTTGGATTATTCATGAATAATCAAAAGGTGGGATTATTGAAAGAAGACCGCTAAAAGGTTGGATTATTAGTTTCTATTTTCCCTATACTTTATGTAGATTCAATGGGTAACAACTTCCCACAAATAAAAATACATACTAGCAAATTAGGTTACGACGGGGCGGGGCAGGTCATGGGTCAAAAAGTTTGGACCCGTGCAGGTCACGGGGCAGGGCGGACCCGCACCGCCAAGTCACGGGGCGGTTCCGGGCCTTGCAGTACCCGCCCCACCCCGCCCCATTGCCATGCCTACCTAACACCGACAACCGGGTGATTGACGAAACAGGGTAGAATCTTTGCTGACAATTAATTGTGACCATTCCAAATGGTGTAGATTCTGGTCTGCAGACCATTCCAAAGGCTGAACATATTTGGTGAATATGTTCAATGGATTACTCTGGTTTTCTATTAAAAAAAGATCGAAATCAGAGAACGTATTTGGTGAATATGTTTAATGGATTTCTATTTAAAAAAAAGAAGAAAGAAATCAGTGAACTTATTTAACGAATATGTTCAACAATTTTCGATTAAAAAAAATCAAGCAACGTATTTGGTGAATATGTTAAATGATTTTTGATTAAAAAGAGGTTTGAACAGACTCAGTTAACAATGCTTTATTTATTTCATCCAACATTTCAAAAACAATTATACACTACAATCTACTGAAATGAAAATTTATATATTCTGAATTGAAATATTTATTGAAATGATAAGAAACAACTTGTTATTAAAAACTTAAAAAGTACAATTCCTTCATAATAAATTATTAAAAACGCTAAAATATAAAAAAACATGAAATCATTGTCGTCCTCTTCTTCTGCTTGGACGCATATCCATCTTGAAACTTTGGAGGCTATTTCATAGGCAATTAACTTACTCGTGAGCAGTTTATCGTTCTTACCTCGTGTGTAGTTGGGAATACAATCGTGTTTCGGTTGATACTGTTTGACTTTCCACTGTGTGGTGTGTTTGATTTGTGATGCTTGAATATACCACACACAAGTTTCATGATGAACACACTTTTCTCGCCAATAATCTATGTGTTTCGCCTCATTACGAAAAGTTCGATATTCTTTGAGGTTTAGAAGGGACACATCTTGCTTCAACTCTTCGAATGTATCATATACACGACCCACATATATTGGTTGTTCTTCAGGATATGTGGGTACAACAAACTCCTCCTCGTCCTCGTCCTCGTCCTCGTTTGGGTTATCATCACTGTCTTCAGAACTGCTCTCGTGTTCAGAAAAGGAAAGAGCGTTATAATCAGGATCATCGTCACTATCCGAAACATCATGGGGGACATTGATGTCAATCATTGGCTGGGAAGTGCCTTGGTTGGGAGGACGCCTAGAAGTGCGTTGTTGAGATGGATGAACCATTTGCTTCTTTTCGGCATTGATGTATATCTCCACTCGTTCGTATTGATTGCGAGCAAATTGTAGAAAATAGATCCAGGATTGGTCGTCATGGATAGGCCACGGCATGGAGGAAACACATATTCCCTCATAATTATATGTGGGAAATTTCCCATGAATGGTTTTCATGTCATATAAACCATCACGGGACATTTCTTGCATAATGCTCTCACATAGTCACATAGTCTTGCATATGTAGTATCATCACTCAATAAATTTAAATATTACCTCCCACACGCTTAATTGGTCAAATTGGTCCCTATAAATGCGAAGAGTGAATCTGCTAGAGTCGGCCCAGTTATGTGCACAAGCCCACCTATATTTAACGACTTATAAGACAAATCATAAAAACCATAATACAGTACAATGTAATATATTATGTCAATGAAGTTTACCTAGCACCATAGGGCAAATCAAATATTGCATCTAGTGGAAGAACCCGTTGGGGTCGAACCATCGGCAACCTCTCCCATGCCCAAAGTTGTAAAAGGATTAAATATCCTCCCATCGAACATGTGTCGGCCTTCGCCGCTTCACATAAGTTGTGGTACAGAAATGCCAACACAGTCGAGCCCCAACTCTACGTAGTTAAATTCACTAAATTGTCATGCAAGAACTCAAGAAAGTAAAGTGATGCTCTACCGGAAGTGCTAGAGAACAACAACCCACTGAGCAACTGCCAAATCAACGTTTTCGTATGATGAATAACTTCAATTTCTGTGCTCCACGGTGATAACGAATAGCGTTGAATGGCTAGATTTCTAATGTTGTTGGATGATATTATATATTTTTCAAGTGGCCTGAAACCAAGATAATCATCACACATTTGGACCCATTCAGTCTTACTATGTGCCGTCGGACCAGTAAGTGGGAGACCATCAATCGGTAACCCCATCAGCACCTGTACATCTTGCAAGGTAATACCTACCTCGCCAAAAGGTAAATGGAAAGCATGTGTTTCTGGTCTCCACCTCTCAACCAATGCGGTGATAAGACCCCAATCAATTTTGATTTTTACTACTCGTTCAGCTCCTTGAAAGCCTGATGCCCTCAACAGTTGTACGACTCTAGGATCACGTCCGCCATCGTCTTTGGCGGATTTGGGGAAAGTAATGCACCTCAGTTTTAAGTCTCTCAACGCTTCAGTTTTCCACACATTATCAGCACGATGTTCTCCAGGTCTCATCACCAATACAGAACGTTTTCTGGGCCCGGGATGGGAGTGCTCTCTTTGTGTAGCCATGAAAACCTAATAATATATTAAATCAATTCCTAATCAACACTTATATTTGTAAAACTCCGTACGTAATTACAAAATTAATTAAACAACACTATTTATAATACAAATTATATATAATTAAACAACACTACTTATAATACAATTTGTAATACAAATAAATACACCTAATTAAAAAACAACATATTTCGTTAACTATAGACTAATACTATACACTAATATTTCGTTAATTAACACAAGTTATAGACTAATTTCTACACCGAAATAGGAAAAATTTCTACAAACGAAAGGTGGACAAAATTATTCAAAAAGGTTGGCGTGCACATTAGTAAATTTATACATACATATTTGGTAAATTAACACTACTCTTTCATATTTGGTAAATAAACTAATATTTGGTAAGTTTCCTATTTCACTTTTTTGTTTAGGTTCCTAATTCACAATTACAAATTAACAATATTATAGAATAATTTCATTCCTAAATTACTAACTTTAATTATTAACTAAATTAAACCATTAAATTGGAAAAACTTAATTAAATTATTAATTAACATAACGTACTTTGGAGAAGAACTTAACGTTAAATTACTTGACGTTAATTCATTTCATTCCTACTTCTACAAAGTAACATAATTAAATTAATAACTAAATTAAACTAAAAAAGATTAAGGCAAAACTTACTTGGGTCAACAGGAAGGAGATGGCCGAAATTTGGAGAAGAAGAGAAATTGGAACAGTTAGATGTGTTGTGAAGTGAGATTTGTGGTGGAATTTATAGAGCATATTTGGCAAATATGTTGAGTAATTGGCAATCCGAGCCACCTTATTCTGACCAATAGGAAGATAGACATATTTGGCAAATATGTTGGGAATATATTCATTTAATGCAACAAATTCGTAAATCTGCTCAAGTAGATCGAAGCAATCCAAACCCTTCAACTGGATTTCCGAGCCACCTTATTCTTGACCAATAGGAAGATGGACATATTTGGAAAATAAGTTTGGAATATATTCATTTAATGCAACAGATTTGTAAATCTGCTCAATCAAATCGAAGCATTCCAAGCCCTTCAGCTGGCGATCCAAGATGACGATCCGCGCCTAACACTCTTGACCAATAGGAAGATAGACATATTTGGCAAATATGTCCAGATACATATTTTTTTCCTTTCGCAATTACTGAACGTATTTGCCAAATATGTTCAACCAATTCAACCAATAATTCAGTCAAACCTACACCTTTTGGAAACACCTGCAAGAAACATACCTTGTTCTGTCATTTACTCCCGACGACCACTACCTCCAGCTTGCGACCATCACCTCCGGCCGCCGTGGGTGACCACTACTTCCGACCACCACACCCCTCCCCCTCCCCTGCATACCCCAGCCAGCATCCCCCCGGCCCCACAGTACCCGCTACCCCTCACAGGCTTACAGCAGCCCCCAACCCCCGACCAACCCTTGCACAATCGCAACACCCCGCCCCTAGTATTCCACCACTACAACCCGCCCCCAATTAAGCCGCACCCAGCCGCAGCCCCAATCCCCTGCCTTGCCCCAGGCCTCTGCTTCACTCCCTGTCCCATGTTACTGCTTCCGCCACAGGACACCATCCCTAATTGCACCTCCACATCAGATTATCGTCCCCAATTGCGCCCCTGCAAAAGAGTAGGTGGGGAGTGGGGGGTAACGGGGTCTGTGAGTTCGGCGATGGAGATCAATCGATCCTCTCTATGGATTCGACGATGGAGGTGCTATGGAGATGGATAGATCCTTCCCCTCGGTCACTTCGATCTGTTGATGGGGAGAGAAGTCTTCCTTGGGGTTCGTGCGGCGCAAAAGGAGAAGAAGCGAAAGTTTTTTTTAGGGGAAGACGCGAACAGTTTAGTAAGGCAGGGTCACTTTTTGGTCATAATCCAAAGGGAGCTTTTTCTTAAAAAAAAAGGATGACACCCCATCCCTGAGGCCCCCCCAATACCGAATGAATCCATGATATCGATGTCAAAAAGAAAAGACATACAAGAAGAGATAAGAGTAAGATAAAAAGGGAGAAGATAAAGTTAAAATATAAGATAACAATAACATAAGAATATAAGAAAGAAAAAAATAAAAAGATAAAAGAGCATAAAAAAGCTAGAAGATAAAAATAACATAAAAACATAAGAAAATAAAAAAAGGAAAGAGAAAATATATAAAAGAGATCAATCGTCCACATGAATGTGCGCCCTCCACTTTACTCTCTACAAAGTCATACTCTCATCCAACCCAAGAAGACGTGTATCGATTCTGATTCCTCTAAATATGTTAGGGTCTTCTTCCTCTTCTCTCTGCCTTTTCTCCCCACCCCTCAATTCGTCTAACAGGTGTATCACTTGGTCTTCTACGCACATGACCAAACCACCGTGAACAAGACTCTTGCATCTTATCTTCTATAGGTGCTACTCCCACCTTTGTCTGATTATCTCATTCCTCAAGCGGTCTTTCCTGGTATGTCCACACATCCAACGCAACATACACATCTCTTTCATACTTATCTTTTGAATGTGACATTGTTTCACCGTCCAACACTCTACGCCATACACATTAATGCAGACCTATTGTTGTTTGATAAAATTTACCTTTCAGTCTAATCGGCATACCTCGATCACATAGAAATCTCGATGCACTCTTCCATTTTGTCCATCCATCTCTGATTCTATGGGATACATCCCCATCTAATTCACCATCCTTTTGAATTATGGAGCCCAAGTAACGGAACATATCACACACCGATATCTGTGTACCATCTAGAGTAATCCCACTGTTGATACTACTTTTACCTCCACCAAACTTGCACTTCATATACTCAGTCTTGCTTCGGTTCAATCTAAAACCCTTGGTCTCCAATGTTTGTCTCCATACTTCCAACTTTGCACTTTGTGGTCCTCCCAACACTAGTACAGACACTTGTAGTATAAGCCTCATACATATCCATGATGATACTAATATACTTACGTGATATGTCTTTTCTATTTAAGGCCCACCAAATGATTTCTCGAGATACCTTATCAGATGCCTTTTCAAAGTCAATGAACACCAAATGCGGATTTTTTTATTGTCTCTGTACTTCTCCATAACTCGTCTAGGAATGTTAATGGCCCCAGTTGTTGAGCGTGCAGGCATAAAATCAAATTGATTCTCTGAAGTTTTCACACTTTTACAAAGTCTTTGCTCAACCACTCGCTCCCAAAAGTTTCATGGTGTGACTTATAAGCTTAATCCCTCGATAGTTGGCACATTCTTGTAGATCACCCTTAATTTTAAATAGGGGAATGAGAGTACTCTTCCACCAACTCACTAGCATTTTGTTGTTTCGTCAAATCATGTTGAAGAAACGTGTTGACCACTCAATGCCCTTCTCTCCCAAACTTCTCTAAGCCTCGATCAGTATGTCATCTGGGGCCACTGCTTTCTTCACCCCATCTTTCTCATAGCCTTTTTAACTTCTGTTGTGTGGATTCTTGTTTGGATTCTTCTCACGGAGTCCCTATTTACCATGCACTCTGGTATAGTAAGATTATCAATATCTTGCCCTTTATTCCCATTGAACAAGGTATCAAAGTATGAGCGGCCTCCACCTCTCTTTTATTTCCTCATCCTCCATTAGTACCCTTTGATCAACATCCTTCACACACTTAACTTTTCTGATATCTTGAGTCCTACGGTCACGAAGACAAACACGTCTGTAAATATCTTTTTCTCCTTCCTTAGAGTCTAATTTTACATACAATTCCTTGTTCACTTTTCTTCATGCTCCCTTTACAACTTTCTTTGCTCTTCTTCTAGCCTCCTTGTACTCATCTATGTTCTCATCGCTCCAACTTTGGTCCAATTTCTTATATCATTCCCTTTTGATCTGTATTGCTTGTTTCACCTCATCATTCCACCAAGAAGTGTCATTTTTTATGGCAGACATCCTTTAGATTCTCCGAGTATCTCCTTAATTACTCATTGTTTACAGAAAGAATCTTTTGAAAAATAAATGGCAATCATTATACCATTACAAAAAAATAAAGAAATTGCCCTAAATAGGAGTAAAAACGTTCTGAAATTCAAAAATAGGACTATCACGTTTTTTATTCCCTGAAGATGAGTAATCTGCCAAGTTTGGGAAAAAATGTCATGTTTAAAGCCTAGTAATGTCAAACTTGGCCGAAATTTACTCATATTAAGGGAATAAAAAACTAGATAGTCCTATTTTGGAATTTCAAAACGTTTTTACTCCTATTTAGGTAATTCTCTCTCAAAAAAAATACAGGATTGGCATGGATTTGACATGGATTGATCGATGATTTCATTCCAAACTATTTTTGACACGAAATTGACATATCCCTAACAAATCCTTCATGAATTATTTCAAATTCATGACAAAAAACTTTGTCGATCCCGTATTTTTTTGTAATATACAAGTTGGCACACAAAATCTTTGTGAAATATAAATACACAATCAATCTAGACACAATGCACATTGTAAAAATAAAGTGTTGTCTTAAATTGTGAGTAGGAAAACACAATGCTAGTAGCTAAAACTATCACAAAACTAGAGGTTGACACAATTGTGGTTCATGTATCATGATGCATAAACATAAACCTTAACGATCTCAAGAGTTGGACGCTATTGCTTTCAGCATTTCTTACCGTTATTCTTAGGACGAACTGTGACTAATGTCATCTCGGAATATATATCAAAACAGAAAAATTCAAAAGGAAATTTTATTTTACACCGTTGTTCCCATTGTTGCTCTTTACACTTCGGCGGAAGAATTTTTTGTCGAGTGGGTTTCCAATAAAGAAGGGGGTGGTGAGGAATAAAGGGAAGGCAATGTATCAGAAGAGTAAGAGAACCGAAGGCTTGGTAAAATAGGAATTTTACGTCCAATAATGAAAAGTCGAAGCCTAAACCCTACAATAATTGGCATTTTGAAGTTTGGTTGTTCTGGACATGGCATTTTGAAGTTTGGTTGTTATGTACAAAATGCCAAGTGAATAAGTCATTAACCAAATAGTCATGATGGTTGATTGATCTGATCAAAAGGTTAAAACAAGTTAACTCGACCAAAAAATGGTTGATAAGCTGCTAACTTAACACCCACATTATGTCCTTCGATCATGACCTAAAATCTTGGATTCATCCGTGGTAACTGGGATATTTTCTAGACCATTAAATGAGTATTTTTTTACCACAACTTTCTAGTAATTTGTTTATTTTTATTTTAGTTGAAAATTTTGTATCGAATATTTGAATTTCATCTGTATTATTTCTAGATTCAAATTCTTATCCATGATAAACATCCGTACTCCAGTGGATTTCTCCATCTGAATCAGAATAAATATTTTCAGATTAAATATTTTCATGGTATGTAATAAATAGTGTACTACTAATTACAACAATTATAAATACATGCATTATCTAGTAGTGAGTAATCATATCTTATTATGAGTTAAATGAATTACAAACTTTCCTAATTTCTCCATCGGCGCCCAATTTCACATCTAGTCTTCCCAATTTGACCATCGCCAATCCAAACTCCACATCAAATGTCGACGGAGCAGTGGCGGCGGTGTCATTTGTTTCAACGTAGGAGTCAACCACCGTCCTCGTAACCTCGTCGTCGTAAAGCCTGGCGTCCGATGATAACACAGCAAATCCATTTTGAATATTGACGAATATGTGGTTGTCGAACGTCT